TCCTTCATCGCAGGCATCTGGTGGGTATTTCCTCTGATTGACTTTTTACCTTCATTTAGGTGCTTGGAATTTCTGTAATTTAAATTATGCCTTTCAGATAGAAGAGGAGGATCTTCCACGTCTGCATATAGGATGGATGACTACAATTGGCGATATGACAGTGATGAACTTCCTGAGGGTGTAATTCAAGCTTCAAGTGCTCTGGAAAATCTTCATTTGGACAGGAAGGCTCGGAATCTAACATCTTCTTGGAGGTTGGTTCTGATGCAATTCTTTTTTCTTTTTATTCTCTTGCTATTACTCAGATGTTAACAATTTTAGATTTTAACATCATATCAGCTCTTGGAGGTTGGTTCTCAGTAATATTTTCTCATTGTGTTTGAACCACAGGCATGCCGGTGATGGGATCGGTGAGGATGATAGCAGGGCTGATCACGTGTAGGGACAGACATTGCTTGCATAATTGCAATCTGCTCCTGTATTTTACTGTGTATTTTGAATATTTAGCTTCTTAGTGATTGATTGAATGAGCCTGTTTTAATGTAAGATTATGTAATGATGTGATTTAGTGCTTTGTATGAGCTTTTCCTCTAAAGTTCCCTTATAGCATATATTTGAGTTTTGTCTTAATGTGATGTTAAGTTCATGTCTGCCCCGAAAAATAAAAAAGAAAACGAAAACAAAAAGTGGTGCCGAATTGACTGTAAATGTTTTTCAATATCTCTGAAAAATGGTTTGCCTAGTGAAAGCTTGAACCGAGCCCAACCAAGGAGTAGGGCAAAGTAGCAATGAGTTGTGGCTTAGATTGTCAGATATTATATCATGATGTTACAGCGATCTTTGTTTTTCAATGTAAATAATGAGTTTGAATCTTCGGTATGTGGATTGGACGGATCTCCTTTATGTAGTATATTGTCATTTGTTGTCGATATTCGGTAACATGATACATTTTTATATTGAGGGTGTCTAGGTTAGGTTGAACACACGTGCTGCTGACCCCCTTTGCTTAGTTTGCTACAGCTAGTGTCCAACTATTAGCTTTGTTAGCATGAAATGGGAAGCTGAGAGTGCAACTAATTAAGGCCGTCTAAGGAAGGCCAAGGAATCAATCACTAAAATATTATTATTGGAAGTATCGAAGCTCAACTTGGCTTCTCATGCACAATTACTAATTCAAGAACAACCATTGGTCTAATTTGACAGCAGATTAGATGCATGCAACCTCATTCATTACGTTCTTTCCTTATTTGTATTGTATCCAACAGAAGGTCCCCCTCGCTATATTTATTATGCACCATAACTGTGGCTATCAAGTATCAACTACCTGTGATTCATTATTCAATGCTGCCATTGCAATTGTTGTAGTGTGCATGCTGTGATAATAATTTCATGTATTATAGTACTACTATTGCTGTTAATATGATCTTTATTGCTTATAATGAGCATAATATAATTGGATCTTCCAAGAACGTTTCTAGATTACATGATTAAATATAACCGTACTAGTTTTATCATATTATTATGCATACAAACCATTACATTTAATAGCATTTATCAGAAAGGTTATCAGATACAATGATATGTATGTTGGTTTCAGATCATACATAGGTGATAACTTGTGTAAGATTTGTAACTCAAATGCTAAAAATAGAAAAGAATAATAAAAAGCAATCCTGGATCCTCGTGAAGACCTGGGCTGTTTCTGTTTACAACACAAGACATGTTCAAAAATAGAAAGCAAGAAGGAGAGTGAGATTTTTGGGGACAAAGCAGAGTTAGTTACATTGTAAAAGGAGAGGAAGTTTTGAACTCACACACTAATTTAAGGAAGAAGAGAGAAAGTTGCCTAAAATGGTGGTTAGTTAGTTGAGGGTCAAAGTCAAAATCCCATTCCAACGAAGACATTAAAAAATTAGCAAACAAAAAACTGCCAGCCAACCCCAAAATCCAAATTCCCCTTGGGAAATTCCCCTACCTCCACGGATTTCAAACCGAGTCCATTTCTTTTTTGTTTTCTAATTCTCTTTTTATGGCTTCAACCCGCAACTAATAACACAACAAAGAAAGAAACAGGGAAAAAAAAGAAAAAAGAAAAGAAAAAACACACACTTTCTCAAATCCACAGATCAAGGCATCAACTTTCTGAAACCCCCTTTCATCAGAACTCTCCAAAACCTTAATAACCATCGGTTCCATGATAATGCTATTGGGCTGTTAGTAGCTGATGTTTTTCTAATGCCTCAGGAGTTGGAAAAATACTGAATTTCTTGTCTAAGGTACCATCAAATTATATGTCAAAAGTTATGCTTTTTTTGTTTCTTTCACATGTTTCTATTGAGTTCTCTGGATCTCGAAATTAAATCACATTTTCTTAAAAACAATTTTTTGTTTGGAATCTTGTTTGTGAAATTTCAAGAGATGCCCCATGTTTCAATTTGATCCTTTTATAGCAGAAAAGTGTTGAATTTTCAAAGTGAATGATGAAACCCACATTATGGATTTATCTGATATAGCAATATAGATTAGGGGGTCTTTGTATTGATTCTGATCTCAAATCCTTGCGCAGGTTTTGGACATTGGAAATAACGTCATTGATAGTTTCAACTTTGATTTGTGGTGTCAGTGTTCATTCATTAGTATAGGCCTTTGATTTGTGGAGCTTGTGACTTGGGTTCAGTTACAATAGGAAACTAGGATTTTGCCATTTTGTCATTGACTTTTCTTTGATGAACAATTTGTTGCTCAGTTGTGTGGTTGAGAGTATGTAAGCTAAGGGATGGTTGTGTCAGCTACGTTTAGGCGAATCGTCGCTCCTTGTTGGAGGCCATCTGATGTTGAGAATAGGAATGGGGGTGCAAATGGAGAATTTGATGGTTTGCTTTGGTACAAAG